TTCCTAAAGGCGATTTGTAAAAATCGTGATTGTAATTGGGAATGGTCAAAAATAAGTGTATGATGTGGCCATTTAAAGAGGATGTTTTTATTACGTGTGGAGGAAGAAGATACTTGGAATCAATGTTCGTGGTTCTGTAAAACAGTGCACTCTTATAGTGTCCATGAAAGCACAAGTTCAAGTGACCAGAAATATATCAAATAAGATTGGTCCTTACTTGACAAGAAGATTATTTGGAGGAAAAGAAAACATAAGATAGGGTATTTTAATCGAACAGCGAAAATTTAACATTTTTATTGTAAAGTTTGTTGTAGGTAGTTGTAGTTTTGTGCTAAATATTTCTAACATTAGCAGCGGCTGTGTTCAGAGTGTCAAGAGGAGGAGAATTCAGTTAATTAGATTTATGCACAGTTACAGGTATGAAGGCTTTTTCAAACATAGTATCGAGTTCTATAGTCAACATTTTTAGTATTCCTACAACTGTAAAAACAAGGAACATTGGACTGGAAAAATGGCAAGATTTATATAGAAAGAAAGGGTATTATGCCAATAAGAAAATTAAATCTGTAGGCAGAAGTTTCTTATTTAAAAACTGTTATGGGGCATATATTAATTTGTATCTCTGCCACAAATCACTGAGAAAAATCATATAATATTCATAATTGTTAACGAGATGATATTTAAAGAGTGTTAAAAATGAGATTATTAGTCATGAAGCTTACAATGTTACTTTGTTTCAATATTACACTTTTATTCTTGTAAAATCTATGATGAAGTTCAAAAGCATTTTGCAATGGCTTTAAATTGTGAGCCAGGATTTATAGCAAAGGTATTTGATGCAATGAACTTAATCAGGGGATTGTCAATCCCATGTTTTTAAATAGATAAAATACAGGCCAAAGTTGACAATATTACAGTTGAGAAGAAACTATTTTATCTTAAAAAAATTCTTAAAATTCTGAGATCATATAATCTAATTTTCTTAATAAATTAGGTATATGTATGTTGTACATACAGAATTTTGGTATGGACAAATAAGGATCGACAAGCTTCTTTTTGTGCAAAAAATAAATTATTTTTGTAGTATTAAGACAAACGATAATGTGTTTTACAAACTTACCGGTAACAGTTTTTTTATAATAAAATATTTAGGAATAATTTGGGTTGTTTATCAATATATTAATGACTTGAATTTTGACAAATTCAATTTGTATCAAAATAATTTTACGAAATATAAAATTGATGTTCTATTACAAGACTGAGTTTTTTTTGTCGACAAAAACCAGGATAAATACTAATAATAATACCCATAATAAAATCAATGATGTTTATGTATTATGAAAATATTTGTTAGAAGACATGTTATGTAACAATTTTTGGTAACACAATTTGAAGGGACGAATAAAAAAAATAAAACAAAAACATATTTTTTCTAGGTTTATATTAAAAATACAAGGTAAGTAATCATCAAAAATAATTATGCACCAAATGTTTTTTATGAATATACAACTTGAACAAAAAGTTGTTTAGAACAATTTTTACCAAATTTGCAAAAATTTTAAATTGAAACGCGTAATTCTGTACAAGTAAACATGAAATAATTTAAATACTTATTTAATGGCATTTCGAGTGTTTAACGACGAAAAGGTCATCTGTCCGTAGCGTCTTTTGTCAGAATATTCTTATATTTAGTGTATTATATACCAATATTGTACGCAGTTTTGAAACTGATAATTAAATAAATCATATTAATGTTAACTAACCATAATAAATGATAGAATTTCACTAAATTTAAATTGCCCCCCGTATGGTTGAAAACAGCAAATTGATATTTGATTACTTATAGATTACCACCTATATACAAAATGACACGGAGACCTGGAATATGGCGCCCAACTTGATTAGACCTTCCGCGCATGTTGAAGCTCATTCTCTATCCCTTCTATTTCTCTGAACCTAACCAACCAAAGTAACCCCCAAAATAACCAATCTAACCAACCCCCAATAAATATAGAAACCAACGCAATCATTTTTTGTTGATTGCGTATTATCTGCTTTTGTATAAAACCTTGTTTGGAATTTTACCACACTCTGGCAATACCGCATTAAATGTCATTCAGGACATAAATATGGCGACTTTTCAATTTTGAACAACTTTTACACTTTTATTCTGTATATTTTTTAAAAGTAAGTAACTATCTAAAAATAGCAAAATAAAAACACTAAATCACCACAATACACCAAACGAGGGGTAAACCGCAGAGGAATTATGGTGTACACTATGAAGGAATTCTACAGGAATTCCAAGGAATTACGAGGAATTCCAAGGAATTACGAGGAATTCCAAGGAATTCCATAGGAATTACTAGGAATTCCCATTATTTCCGTAAGAATTCCAAGGAATTCCTTAGAAATTTAGAGGAATTCCACAGGAATTAAGAGGAATTACAAGCAACTTTATAAAAAATTAACGAACATTAGTAAACCATGAATACTATAATAGGTAGTACTAAATTTAAAGAAAAACGTTTTGCAGGCGATTTTTTACTATCCGTTTTTCGTTTTCGCTTCCAAAATTTCCCAATATCAAATATCTACAGGTTAGATATTCTTTTAATTTAATATTGTACCCTCGATTATATATCTAAAATATTTTCCAATAGTACGGCCGAACCACCCCCGAGAGATCTACTTATAACGTTCCCTGATTTCGCCATTTTAAAGAAACCCTCATAAGATTTTTTTATTCAGTACTCCAGAAAGTGTAAAGTTGATTTTTTCATTTCCTCGGAATAATACCTAGGTATATACTATAGGGAAATTAATACAACTTTAGGTGCACTTCATCAATGATACCATGCGTAATCTTATGGAATTTACTGGTGATCGTATTATGACGTGCAACTGAAGTTTTATTAATTTCCTTTCCTATAGATACGAGTATAACTAGGTACCTATCATTTTCAAAAAATCCCGAGAAAAATTAATTTTAATAAGTAAGTGCCGACATATTTCCAGTATTTTCACCTCATGATCCCCTATGGGCCCTAAAATTTAACTAAAAAAAAACGTAAATCTCGTAATAGTACTTTTTATTGTAAGATCTAGTACTTATAGAGACATTAGACATTTATAAAAATCACCTGAAAATTCATAGCGGAACTGCGAAACCGAGGTGGCAACGCTGGTTCAGACTGACAGAGTTACCGAGTTCGTTACCAAGGAATTCCAAGGAAGACCTTGAATGATTGACCTTGACTTTGTAGACCAGGAATTCCAAGGAATTCCGAAGGAATTACGAGGAATTCTGAGGAATTATTTGAGTAAAAGGAATTACGGTGTACACTTTTCCCTCTGCGGTTTACCCCTCGACACCAAAACACTTTTAATTTTACACTGGACGCGCGTTTCGCTAACCATGTTAGCATCATCAGCAGATGATTGTAAACTGATGCTGGATCCCGCAAATGCGGGATCCCTCTGAGATTCCGCGGGATCGAAGTTACGGGATTTATCGTGCGGGATCCGCGGGATTGACACATTACTACTGGGTAACCGAATCGATCTCGATCAAGGTCAAACCCCTTCGTTCCGGGCCGATGAGTCGACACTCGGAACCCGGGGGACGCGTTACTGGTGGACAATTTCGTCAAATAAACTGCCGGACATAATTATCGGGACAAGCAAAATTTTAGGGTAAATTTAAAGTTGAATATCTCTTGAACTAAAAAAGATTTTGGGATGCGGTTTAGACCAGGTTTTAGATGCATCTATTGTGATTAAGATGCTATGTGGTTTTCGAAAATATATTTAGCGAATTCTCGTATACAGGGTGTTTTATAAGAAAGTGAAAATTTGGTTAAGAATCTTTTTTACCGCAAATTTACGAGTTTTAAAAAATCGAAATTTTTATCAAGTACGACTAATCTGTATTGAAATTAGAAAAAACAATTTGATCGATTTTTATTTTTTTTTTGTTTTAAGGAAAATTTACTTTTTTTCGAAAAATATGCATTTTTAGTCATACGTATTTTTTTTTTGGTCCTAAGTGGTACAAAAAGCTTTGTACATTCTGCATATGCCAAAAAATTATTAATATAGAGTGTATCTAAAAGCAGATAACTAACACAAGTCAAAAAAAACTTCAACATCAGAATAATATTTTTATTTATAAAATAAGTAGATAAATTATAATAAAATTTAAGTTTTTTTAATATTAAATATATTTTTTGAACACCCTGTATAAATCGGTCCAAATTTCTGTAAAGCTAGTTTAAGATACACGCTATATCAATATATTGTGGGCCTTTTGTACCGTTTAGGACCAAATGTATGACTATTGTTTACAGTCCCGCACTTTTGCGGATCCGCGGGATTGATTGCTTTAATCCCGCGGGTTTGCGGGATTGAGATTTTGGTGCGGGATTGCATTCCCTATAGGAGACCTATAAATTATTAAAGATATTTGCACTTATTTAAGGCTCAGCCTGTATATATTTTAAAATTTTTAACGAATTATCTCAAGTCAAGAGTGGACGAAAATGTGGTGAAAAATGTGTGGCCCATTACGATAGCCGTCTATCAATTATACATATAGCGTTCGACCCGTGAGGTCGCGGGAACGGCTCATCATTTAGCCGAATCCGTCTGATGATTAAGGTCAGAAACGAAGAAGACGCGGACGAAGAGTGGAAGGATGGACCTGACGAGCGATAGATGCAACGACCACGTGAAATCGTAAAACAAATTGAATCCGAGCCGCGCGCACTATTAAATACTGTTAGACTTTATAAAATTCAAAAATCCATTTAGTTAATCGCGGAGAAAATGCTCACGAGCACACATACACATCCGTACAGTCAAACACGAAATTTGCGAAATGTGGGAATCCGACAAACCCAATTAACAAATTTGTAAAATATTTTCGTATTAAATATACTGTAATGATAAACATACATTCTTCGAGGTGGTTATAATCATGATATGATTATATATTCCTGTTGCCTGGCCCATTTAGTTAAGTCCGCCCCTGTTTTTTGCACCGATTCGGCTGTTCGTGTAAAATCTACGGCTATTACTTCATCCCAACCCACAAATTTGCATTTGAATACCTAGAAATAATTGAATAACTTATTAATAAAATTATACATATCTTGCAAACAGAGAATAGGTTTGTATAATTAAGAAGAAGAATTTAACCGCTTTTTTCTGTTATTACGGGGATTATAGACACACATTATAGACTGTCCAACAAAGAATTCCTGATAATGACAGTTGTATCTTTCATCTTAATTCACAGACAAATTATATTTTCTGTAATTTTTTGAACGTCGTTTGATGAAATCCTCCCTGATTCAATGGACAGACATTATAAAAAGTAAATAAACACAAACCTGTGGTTCTGTACCTTCCCTAACCCTGGTAACCAATGCATAATCAGGCCTATCAATCATGTTGAATAATTCTTCAGACAGTTTTACAGCGGCAGCATTCACTAATCTAGTACTCTTTTTACCAATCCTGTTCAAAAGATAATATAAAATTAGTATTTTATCTAGAGGAAAATAGTTCAGTAACTTACCACACAAAAACGTCCAGGTAGCAATCCAAAATGTACACGTTTTTACTTTTCAGTAAAGTGTTTACTAATTTTCCATGCGGTACTTCAACTGAGGTAATTCTAGGTAGCCCATCCCGAGCTGAACGCGGTACAAACGTGGCGGTACAGGAGTATCAAAACATAATGAAAATATCGATGAAGAAATAGAGAATAACATTCATCACTTACAAAAACCAGATGTGACAAGTATTGTGGTAGAATCGAAGGGAATAATGGTATCAAAGAAAAGAACAAAGATGTGTTTGATTTACATACTTCAAGTGATGATTTGATTAGAAGAAACAGTTCCAACGATTATAACAATCTATATAAAGATGATATCACTAAAAACCGTGATGACGATTTCAAAGCAACCAAAATAAACTGTGGTTCTTAACAGAAATTAATAGTGATAAAAAAGCAAGGCAAAATATTCTCGATTGCAGTGAAGGAACATGTAGCCAAATTGTGAAAGCTGAGAGTTGTTTTCGAGAAGAATGTAGAAATTAATCTGGATTAAATTTTATATTTAAGTAAAAAATACAACTTTGACTAAATTACCTCACTAATTTAGTCATGAACGGTTAAGCATCAGTCAGAACCTCCGAATTAGTAGAACAAATTAGTGGGTTTATATTAGCGTAGAAGAACCAAAAAACATTGACAAACAAACATTCGCAACTGTTTGTGAATGTTTGAAAACGTTTGCAAATATTGGTTCGTTTCTATTTTTCTCTTTTTGAACAGGACAAGAATTCGTGAATTAACAGTGAGTTTTTGAACATTTGTCAACGATCCGGAATATTGCACCAAATGGCTCCGCGAAAAACAGCTATTGTAAATGCCGCTGCTTTTATTATAATCTGTGTTTTGAAAGAAAAGGAGACTATGAAAAAAAAAACGAAAAGGAAACATAGGTTCTGGACGTCATACTTCTTGAAAACAAGAAACTCAGTACAACTGATTCGTGATATAACAAGAGATGATAGAAGTGGCCTATTTAGGAATTTCTCTAGAATGTCACAAGAAGACTTTCAATACTTAATATCGTTAATCGGTCCTAAAATAGGTAAAAAAGATACAAATTACAGAGACTGTATTCCTATGGAACTGAGATTGGCTATAACACTTCGGTTTTTAACGACCGGAGATTCCTACAACAGCCCTATGCATCTCTTTAGAGTTTCGAAGCCAGTTATATCAAGCATTATTCCAGAGATTATTTAGCTTTCACAATGTCCACTGTAGTTCCATTTTTTCTGCTATATCACACCATGCATCATGTTTTTTAAATTTGTTGTGGTATAAATTATGGGTTGATTTTCATATTTCGGGTTTTAATCTATATAAATCAATCAATTTCAAGCACTCGTACTTATCCGGGTTTTTTTCGATCATACGGTACGACTTCATGTATATTTGTCATCAAATTAAGAAAAATATAGGCCAAAATATCAATGACTGCACCATACTCTTCACGGTTGGCTCGTTACATGTATATCGAATAATCTACACTGTGTCTCGCTCTATTTGACAACCGAAATAAATTAAAAATGCCCCGATCTCATCATAAAAGCCTGAACCGGTTCGAATATCGTACACAGAGGCCAAAGAAAACCAAACGAAAAACAAAAATCCCATTAACTGGTCGATTATTTGCATTATTTAGACACGAGCAGGCATTAATTTGGTGTAAATATGTTGGAAAAAGGTTAGCAGCGTTTAGATTCACTTTAAATTAACACGATTCGGAGAAGTTTTATAAAAAACATGGGTATTTTCTTTAGATAGTCGTAAGAGAATAGGCATTTAATCTTGTGGTGAAAGAACGTGTTTCTTCACCAAAAAAACTTGAAACTTATAATTTTTTATGGGTTTATACGGAGCAATCAACAATGATTGAAATTGTTCAATCATGACTCATGATCACTGAGTGCGCAGAGACGATAACCATTCGTGCCATGAAGTTTGGAGAACTCACCTTTGCAAACCTGTCTCAGATACTGGTTTTTTTCAAAGCCATGAGACTGTATGAGGGAGACACACTAGATATGGTATGAGGGTGAATACATATGACCTACCCCTTAGGTAGTACCACTACTCACTTGAAAATCTTAGGGCAACACCCCACTTATGGCGCCTTTTTGGAAAGCCCATGAAAAATGCTAAACGATGATCATAAAGTTTTAAGGGTGAAATTGAAAAGCTACCCCTTACACGAAAAATTAGGTGGACATTAATGAAAAAAGTGATTTTTTAGCATAAGTTACAAATTACAAATTGGGACCCAGCTAAATGAGGCAAATGAGGTATTTTTCAAACCACCCCGACCCACCCCTAGGTGCCCCCCCCCCCCTCACTTCTAATCTGAAGATAGCGATACCCCACTTGTGACACTTCTTTGGAAAGCTAATTGAAATTACTAAACGATGGTCATACAGACTTCAAGTTAATTACTGGTAAGTAGTGATAAGAAGTGTAGGTGTGACAATTTGAAAGAAATTTAAAATGATAAGTTATTTTAACAATTGCTCAAAATGACAGCCGTTTTGTTCCATACAAAAATAAAAATGATTTTCAAATTCTACTCTCACTTTTTGGAAAGTCTCTCTCGGAATATTTCGACATGCTTCAGTTATCCTCTGCCGCAATTCTTGCAACGAACCTGGTTTTGTCTCGTAGACTATGGATTTAGTGTAACCCCACAAGAAAGAGTCTAAAGGAGTGAGATCAGGTGACCTTAGCGGCCACTCGATTGGACCCCTTCTGCCCAATTCATTGCCTTGGATAATATCTATCCAACCACCGCCTTGTGACAATAGAAGAATGCAGAGGGGTTCCATCTTGCCGAATGTGTTTGAGGTCTTCATTAAGAGTTAAATTTCCTTCCAAATCTCTTTGATTTTCAACCTCATTTACAATGGCTGGCTCTATTAAATTGTTCAGCATTTCCACATAAGCATCGTCAGTCAAATTTCCATCGATGAAAAATGGACCTATAATTTTATCGCCTAGTATTCCGCACCAAACATTGAGCTTTTGGGGATGTTGGGTGTGTCCACGATTTATTATGCAACGTCTCCAAGAAACTAGTACAGAATTTGGGCTAAAACTTAATCCTAACAAAACTACTGTCATGATTGTGGACCGACAAAACAACAACCAACCTCACGTGGGAAACATAGCTGGATTTAAGGTGGTTAATAAATACTTATATCTGGGATCGCTAATCGACAACAGCGGCTCATGCGAAGGCGAAATAAGACGTAGAATTGCGCTGGCTAGAACAGCCGTAACTAAATTAACTAAGATATGGAAAGATACAGCCATCACTAAGAATACCAAACTAAGACTCACAACTCAGCCTCTCAAAAAAAATAAACCGATGTTTTCTGACATATATTGGTCACATTGCTAGAAGAACGGACTCACTGCAGCTGCTAATAGTCGAGGGAAAGGTAGAGGGAAAGCGACCACGAGGAAGATCACCCAAGAGATGGGTTGATCAAACTAAAGACCTAATCGGCCAAGGCCTTCATGAAACCGTCAGCATGGCTCAAAACAGAGCGGACTGGCACAATACGATAAAAACCGCTACAGGAACATCATAGTCACTAATCCCTCTTCAGGGAAACGGACCAAAGAGAGAGAGAGAGGGTGTGTCCTTCAACAACAATATGCGGAGTCTCATCGCTCAAGTATCTGCAGTTCTGCTTATTCACATTTCCGTTTACAAAAATGAGTACTCATCACCAGGGTTCGGAAGTAGTTAATTAAGACGTAATTTACCTGATTAACTACATGTAGTTTTTCTTCAAAAACTACGTCTTTTCCCGTTCATTATCTACATGAAAACTACGTTAATAAACTATGTATTGATATTATGAATAATTTTCCTTTGTATGAGGTGTAATACAGATAATATGATGTAAATATTATATCTAAAGCCATATTTCTTCTGTTTTCTTAAATACATTATGTGTTTTTAAAGCATCAACTTATTAAAACCTCACCTCAAACCTTTGATATTTGAAAGTTACATAAACTACACCCTCTACATAAACTACATTAACTACATGTAATGTAGTTTATGTAGTTTTTAAAAGTTTTTCATCACTAAAAGAAATATATTTAGTGAGTGAAGGTTCCCTTCGAATTTCCTCCGTCATTAGTTCGCAGAACTGAATCCATCTATCTGGACCGTCGTCGCCAAGTTCCTGCAGAATCTTCATTTTTTAGGGATGGAATTTGTACATTTTCAATACTCTTCTGACAGATGTTCGAGGTATACCTGTGATTGATGCCAACTGGCTTGTTGATGCTTCTGGATTGACCGATACCTGACCAATAACTTCCATCTGCATTTCTTCATTCAGTACCCTGGGCCCTGTCGTTGTTTTATTTTTGACCGATCCAGTTTCTTGAAACTTTAAAATCAAATCTCTAACATAAACGTGACTTACGTTTTTGTCCGGATTTCTCTCATTGAAAGCATGTGCCGTTCTCAAATAGCCCATACCTTCACCACCATAGAGAAAAACTATTTGAATTCTTTCCTCCATAGTATAAACCATTTTTTTTCAAATAAGCGAATCAAATAAAGGTTAAAAATACCACCAAATTTGCAATTGATTGAAAATCGATAGAAGACAGTGTAAAAACGCAAAGATATGCCGTTTTAAGGTACCTGTTTGTTGAAAGTAAAAAAAATAGATGATAAGGAAGAATTTGCGTTGAAAAACGAATTATCTTTGGCATAAGTTACAAATTGGGGCCCAGCTAAATGAGGCAAATGAGGTATTTGCCTCATTTAGCTGGGCCCCAATTTGTAACTTATGCCAAAGATAATTCGTGTTAACTATAATATTCCTTGCTTATGCTGATAAAATCACTTTTTTCATTAATGTCCACCTAATTTTTCGTGTAAGGGGTAGCTTTTCAATTTCACCCTAACAACTTTATGATCATCGTTTAGTATTTTTCATGGGCTTTCCAAAAAGGCGCCACAAGTGGGGTGTTGCCATTTAAGATTTTCAAGTGAGTAGGGGTGCCGCCGAGGGTGCCGTCTAAG